GCCTCGAAGGTTCATTAACAAGCTCATGGTGTCTGCGATACGCAGATTTTCCCTATCTTTTTAAACAGGAGAGTTTTTTCTTTGGCATGAAAGAGGGTTTTTGGTCTGGGGCTGCACTGGACAGAGATGGCAGCGGGATCCACGTCCTCCTCTCTGCTTTCTCAGCAGTGCTTTGCTGGACACTCGGACAAAGGCAGCAGCTGCTTAGCGCTGTGTCACCGGCAGGGAACCACGCCATCATGAGGATGATGGCACCAAGGAAAGGTGGCAGACAGCTGAGCACAACCTGTCTCATGCTGCTTTGTGCACCCGAGACAGTCTGGAACGCAGCATGGTCCCTCGCAACACGCCAGCCGGCCCATGGCCAGCCCTGCTGCCTGTCCCCGAGTTCAGAACAGCCACGACTCCGAGGCCTCCAGCTAAGAGACCGAAATCAGTATTTATTACGCTTGTTCTTAAATGTTAGGAGAGGACATTTCATTATGTGCATAGGAGAGGTTCAAATCTATAAGCCTATGCTGATCTTGATCAGTAATAATAATTATTGACAAAGTACTGCAAAAGCAATAAGAAAAATCCCTTTATTAAATACAGCAGAACACATCACAGCACAACTCCGCAGAAACAGAGGGCCTGACAAAGCCAGGGAGATCCACGTCATTAACGAACGAGTACAAGGTATTTCTTCAAGTAATCACAAACGTTGTCAGGATTCTGCTTTCATTTAGCACAGTAACCAGTGAAGAAACAGCTCACTGCTTCTTCTCTTAGCAAGCCAAGCGGGACACGTGGCTGTGGCGCGAGGGCACTGCTCCACGGTCCCAGCGCGCGACGCTCAGGGCTGAGCCGAACACGGAGGCATCCGATGTTTGCTCACCAGCACGGCTGCTCGCTTCTGTGCAGCACAACAACTCCGCCCGGAGCAAACTCTGTGCTTCTCTGCTCAGTCTAAGCGCAACTTGCTTCTCCTCTTCTGCCTTCAGAAGATCCTGCCGGCTCACCGACGGCCTCGCTTCTCCCGCGAGGCAGCCCCGCTGGCCCCAGGCTCCATCCCTGCTCCTCCTGCACGTGAGGATCCAGGGCCGAGCCCGGGAGAGGGCACACCTGCAAGGCATGGGAACGGGAAAGGCACCAGGTTCAGGGGCTGGAAACCAAGCAGGGGATCACTGTAGTAATTTCAGTCTCCACGGAAACAAAGAAAATCCTGACTACTCTCTCAGCTTTTAGACACTATTCCCACAGACTCTGACCACTTGGGAGAGAGCCTGAAGACAGTAACGGATTTTCTGCCTTACCTTTCCTTGTTCAGATCCCTGCTCTAGGCATAGCTTGGTGATGGGCTGGAAAAACAGGACCTCAGCAGGAGCCTGGTTAAGAACCGGCATGCCTCACCCGGGTAAGCACACGTCCCGAATAGCCAACGGTGCTGGAAGCTCAGGGCACTGCTCAAGCTGCGAAGCAAAGCGCTTCACATTTTGTATTTTCTTCTTTACGTATCTGCTGTTTCAATAAATACTTCTGCATCGCAATGCATTTTCCTTCTTAAAACCCTGAGGCACCAACAGGGCAAGTGGGAGGTGAGGGAAAGGAATCTAGACCAAATATTAACTGGAAGAACTTTTTTTGTATTTCAGAGCAACACAACTCTTCAGCTTGCTCTGATGGAGTAGCTGTCACTGCCAGCATGCCGCTAAGCGGGGGCAGGAGAGCAGGTATGTTCAGAATAATGAAAAATAGGCATGGTTTGAGTACCAGATCTTGAGGAAAATATCATCAGTGAACTTAAAATAGACTGCGTAAGAGCCTCTGTGCATGTGAAAGGGCACTACAATACCAAAGCAGGTTTCATTTCTACCCACTCAAAACAGGAGCAGGGATTGAGTTACCAGGAGTAAGAGAAGTTGCTTAAACTTACTGGAAGATGCTGATCCCCACTACGCCAGTGTTGGGCTGCTTGTCTGCCATGGGTCCTGCAGCCATCTGCTATTCAGGAGGAGCTCCCAGGCTTCTGCACACAGGCGAGATCCTTCCCCGTGTGCCCCTGTTTCTTCCAAGGGAACTCTCCCCCTCCCTGCGGTCTCTCCTGGGAGTCGGTGGCGGTGTCCGCAAGCAGCCGGCAGTTTAACTGTCACTTTTTGGGAAAAGCCCCAAAGCACAGAATCATAGAAAGCAGTCTCATGGTCTCGTTCTCTGCCTCTCCCCTTTTGCTCCTCCGTGGTTTAGCAGAGCATCCTTCCTCCTCTGCAGCGCTCGGAGCCGTCTCCCAACCGCCGCGACACATTCGTCTCCTGGGGCTGGAAGCTGCCACAGGCTGGGGCCGGGCTTGACGCCCCACACAGTCCCACCGGCGACACCGGGTGTGCGAAGGACGACGGCTCTGACACCGGAACGGGCAAAGCACCCTGAAGCACGTAACTGCAGCGGGGGTGACGGGAGCTGCACACCGGGGATCAGGTGCAGCAGGGAGTGTGGAGTGGGCTCAGCCACACGCAAAGCTCTGCTCATGGGGAGCAATGGAGAGAGCCTGAACGAC